GAAGGATTATTTTTTTGCCCCACCTGTTTCTCCTAGGTATTACACAAAATCTGGACGTAAAAGAAATTAATTTGATGTTGTACTGTTTAACTGCTGCCCGTTTGCTGATAGCTCAAAATTGGAAGAGTAAAATTTTACCAACAATGGAAGATTGGAGATTAAAAGTTTCGCATCTTGCTGAAATGGCAAAGATTTCAGCCTATCTGAAGAATCACTCAAATGAACAATTTTTATCTATATGGAGAAGATGGATTGTTTATATACAAAAGAAGCATAGAATAGTGGAATATAATTTAGGTTTTTAATTAACTGGGTTTTTTTTATGTACATATTTCTCTTACTCATGTAGAATTTATATACCTTGTGGAGTTAGAGATTTTATTAATTGTTTACTTATATTTGAATATTATCCTGGGATTAGGTTTGGGAAGTCTCGGGGTGGGGTGGGTGGGGGATGTGGGTTTCATATTATATTTGTGTTATATTTGTATGTTTTTTCTTTATGATGAAAATAATAAAAACCTTTTATTGAAAAAAAAAACTTTGTTCATCTTCACAAATAATGAACAGTGGAATCCATTTCTTTTTTATATGTAGTAATTTTATTAAAGATTACTATTTATAACAGTAAAAACTAACACAATTGAAAGAAATAAAAAATAGAAGGTGCCAAAAAAAAGAAAAAAATAGAAAAGAAAGAAAAAATAAGAATATAATAAAAAAGGAATATATAAAGAATGACTTTCCCCTTCACCACTACAAATATAAATAATTTTAGTAATTTATCACCTCTTAAACAACAAATGATCTCCTCTTCCTATATCTGATATCTATTAAAAAAAAATCCATAAAACCATCTCATTTCAGGGCTGATGACAGCAAAAATCCATTAGGGGTTATCAGAGATGATAAAATAATTATTTTAACCCTGATTAAATAAACCAGGGTTATATTCCTTCCTTTTATTTCTAACAATGCTGATCTTTAATCCCTTCAAATCGTGTCTTAGAACTTGATTTCTTTTCATTTTTTCTTTGTTCCTTCTCATAAAGTTAGAATCAGATCCTTTAATGGACTTCCTATGTCCAGCTTCACCTTCAGATCTTGGAAGTTATCTTTGAAAAAAAAAATTATAGTGTTTGAGATAATTGACTGCAGTCTTAATGAGAGCAGCTTGAGCTTCCCATTATGGATATGAGGAACCTTGAAAAGGAATAATGTATCTGCTTCATTCTTCATTTAATATTCCTAACAATTTATCACAAGCAACACATGTAATTTGCTCTGCTAATTTGGTGCAACCAGGATTTTGCTTTCCTGTCCTGTCCTGTCCTGTATAGCCAGCATCCATCCTTCACATTCAGGAGACCAATTGTTTTTTAATTCTTGTGCTCCTTTATTATACTTTCTTTGTAGCCAACCATTTTACATTTATAGAACTCCTCACTTGAATGTATATTCCCAAATACTCCCTGATATATATATTTTTCAGACTGTGTATCAAGCGTCTCTTCCACATTTCTTGAACATTTCTGACATTTCTTCACAGATGCTGCAGCTGGAGAAGAAGCTTGGAGATGAACTCCTGCAAGATGCCAGGGTCATTGCTTGCCGCTTTCCTTTTCCCCATTGGAGACCAAATCATAGTTTTGGTGAAGGCATTGACACTGTTTGGGCATATGATTCCAAATTGTTTACGGTGAAAAAGGAAGATGATGCAGCTCTTGTCAAGGGCATTCCTTCCAGTTAGCCAAAACTCCATAGATAAACACTATTTTAGCTTTTAATTTGTGTGTGTGTATGTTTTACAGAATATATTATTTCTCTTGGGTTCATGGGCAAACATTTCAGAAATTTCTGGAAATATTTTATGTGCAATGCAGTGTAAGTGTTAAGCAATGCTTCTGTTATGAAAAAACAAATAGAGAGAAGTTCCCTCCAGATCTATGGCTCAAAACCTTTGGATTCTGTGGGATAACACTTGACAATTAAAATAAATTACAAAATTGCAATTTACCATTGTAAAAATGCATTAGGATTTTAACCTAAATACTTAGGTTAAAAACTGTTCTAATACAGTTTAATATTTTCAGTGCCTTCTGATTAAAGCTATACTATTCATCCTTATTCTTATCCTTATGAATAAGTCCCTTTATTCCTGTTTGTTCTTCACTTCAGTTATATGTTGTTATGAGTCAAACAAAATTTAAAATTGGCTGCCAGAATGCAGAGCCATAATGAGAAAATCTGTTTTATGAATTAAAGTCGTCTGGAGGGAGGGGCAGTGGAATCCTAGGTTAATGAAAAGCAGAAGAGAATATAAAAATAAATATTTTGTTAAATGAAGATGATTTTATTGATAATGTTTTATTAAAGTTGTTTAGATATACCCAGTGTCATTGCATTTTTAGATAGAAAAATAGCAGAAGCCAGATGATGGATAAAAAAGAGTGGGGGACAGATTTGCACGGGAGATCAGAAGTTTAGCAAAAGCATTACAGTTTCAACGGAAAAGGGTCAAGTAAGAATTAAGTAGACTTTGGCACTAAGTATCTGTCCAAGTTTGGCAATGGCCAAAAAGGCCTATTTCCTAATGTTATTCAGCTAAAAAAAACCCCACTAAAATTATAGGCAGCCCATATAGAAACAGGATTACTATTTGGGCACAAGATATTCTGGAGATACAGATAGTACAAGCAGTCTTTAAATCTTAGGGAGCCCTTTTCACTTTTTAAAGGACAATATTTAATAGCATGGAAGGGGTAGGTACAAAACATTTTGTGGATTTGTAGGTTAATGATGCAAAGCCTGGGTCCCCTCTCTTTTTAAAGGGAATTTTGAGAATACAATAACCTTTTTTGTACATTAAGATTATGTTGTTTTTTATTTTATGGTTGCACAATCAGTCAGATGTTTAGACTGATTTAGCATTTACAGTATATCCACCTGTTAAGTCCTTTCAATAATATTATAATATACACAAAAATATAAAATCACAGCTGCCAGTTCTTTATTTGGTTTGATCTTCATATGCACTGAGTTCTTCCCAAGAATCTAGAATGTTCTAATGTATCAGTGTAGTATATGTACAGTACAGATCCAGTGTGACTTTTATGATTGACAGATGGAAATTTTGTCAATGTGCTGATTTTCTAAGTGTCAACCAGGATTTTTTTGTATGTATTTTCATCTCAATATGGCAGGAGAAAAGGTTTTGTAGGGCTGCACACGGCTATTTGGCTAACGTGGAAATGCTGTGAGAATTGGAGAAGAAAGGCCTTCAGGGATGAAATAGCAGATTTGTTTTATAAGTATAATTGCACTTTTTGCTACCATCAAGTGCTCAAGTAGTATGATGGGAAGGGGGAAAGTGTCTATTAAAAGGAACTTATTGGAAGATAAAGAAATTTCTACTTGTACTGAAGTGAAAAGCTTCTAAAATGATTAATAGTGGCATACAGTAAGTAGGTGTGCAAGATGCATTACTACTACAGTCATTCATGTTGGGAGTGCTGAAGTGCTTCTGGATTGTTGGTCTCGTGGCACCTTACCTACCAGATACTTTTATAAAAAGCTGGGATAGATTTCTTCTTCCTCATTATCATCAATTGGAAAGAGCAAAAACATAGCAAATCCATGTCCTCAATCTTTTGAGGTGACCCAGAAAGATATACTATTAATGGCACTGAATGCCATTATCTGAATGCCAGATCTAGGAGAGGCATGTTTCCCCTATCCAAATATTATTTCAGTCATCTAGCAGCACAACAAAGACAGTATCCATCAAATGCTTAGTTCTGGCCTCTTTCTGAAATGACTCAGTCATATGCATCCTCTAGAGGCTATTGCACAAACTTCTACAAGCATTTCCACAAATTTCCTCAGAAATACTGGTAGAAGGTTAAACATTGGGTGATATGGTGTCTATTAGGCTAGGGATGTATCTGCACACTTTCTCCTCCACTTACCCAACTGAAGGTGCTGTACTGGGAGCTGTTACTCCACTACTTGGGAACACCCTTCTACGTTTCCCTTATGTGGTAGCCCAAGTCTATCAGCTGGTTCCCCACATCCCTCAGCTGTCTCTATGGTTCAAGTTCTTGGACGAAGATTTAGGAGACTCAAGTTCAAGTCACCCTGCAATCACAGAAATGCAGTGGATGACTTGGGAAAAGTCATTCTCCCTCCATCTAACTTATTCCACAGAGAAATTGTGGGGAAGACTAGGAGGAGAGAGCCTCCTATATTTGTTGATTTGAGCCTCTGGAGGAAGTTAGGATATAAATCCAAGAAAACAAGTGAGGCTACATGTGGATACTGTATATAAGGTGCTGGTCACCATGGCTCAAAAGTAATCTTGTAGAGATCTGCAAGTATGTACAAAAAAGCCATTACAATAATTAGGTAGTTAAAGCAGAAAAGGTTGCAAACAGAACTTCATGCTTGAAGAGAAGGCAGACAAGGATAATATATCTATAAAATCATTAATGCTGTTGAAGTTGTTCTTTGGTGTGATATTAGAATCTCTTGAACTTAATTGCAAAGCGCACCAAGAATTCTAAGAATGTGGGTCATATTTTTTAAACTATGGAAGTTCTTGCCATTGGCTATAGAGATGGCTATCCATTTAAATAGTTAAAAGAAAGTAAATTAATGGATGATTGGACAAGTAGTTTTATGATTGTCTATACTACTGAATGACAGGCAATATATTTAAAATATCAGCAATTCAGAACAGAAGCATACTTGAAAGAGAGGTAACATCTATCAGACCAAGCTTGTCAGGCTCTTGAATGTTTGGCCAATGTGGGACGTAGAATATCAGCCTAGATTCTGTACTAACATGCCAGGTTTTTAAGGCAAAAACAAGGTTTTTTTTAACAGAATAATAAAAATATGGTTATACTTTAAACTTTTATTTAATTAAGGAGAGACTTTTAAAATCAAAACTGAACATTTTTGAAAAGTGTTTTGCACTTCCTTGGAGAAGCAAATCCACTCAATTCATGTATCTTGTGTGATTTTGCCATGAATGAGGTAGCTTGCACATACATTAAATATCAATCACTGTTATCTTTTGAGGTAAGCTATATTATGTAGAATGCAGAAAAGGAGTAAGAAATAGTAAGCTAGATGAAGTAAAGACATTAAATTATAAAAAGAAAAGGAAACATAGCTAAAATTAGTTTGCCCCAACATTTGTGATATCTCTCTGCACTATTGTAAGCTTTCAATCCATCTTTGCTTCCACCAAACCATACACTGCAATTTTTTATCTTTTTATTGTGTTTTTTCTTTTATACCATACACTGGAATTTGATGTTATAGCATGTAGCATGATTTATAGCAATCAGCCCAACAAAGCACTACAGATAGGCATTGCTGAGCACCAACCAAGAACACATTCTTCAAGGAGAGACAGTCACCAAGAATCCCACAGATGATGTTACTGCCTTCAATATTATCATCGGCTTACATGACCAACCATACTTTGGCAAAGAAACACATGACAGAATTGAAGAATTGATGTTACTGCTGGCTGTTCACTCCCTCATCCGCTCATCACATTTCTCTGTGAAAAGTAACTGATCAGCAGAGGACCAGTAAATAAATAGACTGAGGTTGTTCTACCTGAAAATCTGCATAAACAGGATTTGAATTGGGTCTATCTTTGTTCTACCTTGTCTAGAAATTCAGCGTAGATCTTTTTCAAAGTTACTGCCTTGTCGATGGAATCTTCTAAATATTGACTTGTGGGTATTTTCAATCCCAGTTAGAGCTAAGCAGAAATTCAGCTTTCACGCACAGAATACTGTATTTATGAAGATGCCAACTGCAACAAAACTTTCAGAATATTTGCAATCCAGATTTGTGAGGGAAAGAAATGTTAAATGATGGTGGTGATGGTTTTGTTCAGAGTAAAATTTCCTAACAGCTCAAAGGACAAAACTATTTTTAGAGAATAAGATAAGGAGAGAGAACACCCTGGAAATACAGAACTTAGAAAGCCAAACACTGTATAAAGCCAAAGAGAAGCAACAAAAGCTGAGAAATGGTATGAGGCTATACCTTTATTTGAATCACCCAGTCCATTCTTTGACTTATCGGTTTGCAGTTAGAATATACAGCAAGAATGGCCCTATACTGTACATTTATAATTATAATCCTCAAAAATCAGAGAAATTGATTTTTCATGTAACCCTTTCTCATGAGAAATGTTTTTTTCCACATCTTTTTATAAAAGGTACAAAAGAGTTTATAAAAGAGAGGGTGTTGGAGGAAAATAAACTTCCTGTTGCCAAGGTAACCAAGCTCCACTCCCTTCCAAGATCCTCTTGCCAGATAAAAAATTTCTATGTTGCTTCCATATTCTACTACTGTAAATTATGTATAATTATGTTCAACCAGAGCAGAGTCAAGGCAAAAGCTTTTCTATGTGGCACAGGCAGACAATGAAACAACCAGCTCAGCGAAGGGCCCCAGAGTCCTCAGCAGGAACCATAGCTGAATTGTTCCATAGAATCATAATTTTAATTATATGACTCCTGATGACTGGAGATCACACAATGCAAAAGAAAACCCTAAAAATGCCAACAAAACAACAGCACCTTGGCGCTGTAACCCAGATTGAAAGAAAGTCTGGCAGCTTCTCTCTTCTCTTGACTCAGTTATGCTTATTTTGTGTGCATATAATATATAAAATTATAGGCATTCATATATAATTAACTTGTAGCCTGCAGGCATGGCTTACTTTATTTTGGACAGCACCTAAACTGGGCATAGCAAACACATTTTTTTTTCACAAACCTCTTAGAAAAATGACTTGGTTTACTAATGCTAGGAAATAAAGTCTTGGCTAATATATAACCATGTTCATTAGCAGGTGCTATAGTACTCTACAAATCTTTCAAAAGAAATTGTTTTTTGAATGACTAGATCCCTGGGGGTATATGATTTCAGCTTGGCAGCGTGATTAATAGTTGCACTAACACTAACAGTTGCAATCGTTTATTATGTTTGCTTGACAATCTTTGTGAATTTTTTTAAGTTCACAGAACGTATCATAGCCACACAATTTGATTTAAAATGGAGAACAGTGATCACTCTGGATGGGCTGTGCTCTCAAAAACAACAGAAAGAGTGAGCTGCGGAGGGATGAACTGTATTTTTCTTTCAGGGGTTGCACCTGTTCTTCTTGTCCTCCAGGAATTTCCTAAAAGGCCCAAATCTCAGAGGAGCTGGTTGTATTCTTTTCTGCTCCTTAAGTGATAAAGAGTTTCAACAAAAGCTTCATAGTGCGATGAGAAAATACTGGATACCCATGGATGGATAGATTGGGAACAAACAGGGACTTATATATAGGAGC